AGCCCTGAATTCTGAAGAACTGAAGAATCTAATCACTATATTTATAAATAAAAAATGTGAAATAAATAAAGAGGGTGTTAATTTGGCTACAAATGAAATCAATTACACATTTCAAAAAGCAGCATATATAAGTGAATTTTTAAAAAAAGAAAATCCCAAAAAATCACTAAAAAAACAACAAAAGATGAAAAATGGTTTGACTCAGACTGCAAAACATTAAGAAAAAAACATAGAAAATTATCAAATCTGAAACATAAAGAACCATACAACACCAACATAAGAACTGAATACTGTTCAAAACTAAAACACTACAAAGACACAATTAGAGCAAAAAAGCAGCACCATCTGACCAAAAGTTTACAAGAAATAGAACATTAAATAAATCATAATCAGTTCTGGGATATGTGGAATAATCGAGCACAACAAAACCAATACAAGATGGAGAAATTTGGACAAAACATTTTGAAAACTTATATAAAGAAATCCCACCAAAACAGCTCAATGACAATTGTAATCTGATCAAACAAAATCTACAAACATATGAAGAAACAATTAAAAATAATCTAAATCCACTTGACTTCCCAATTACATATAAAGAATTGACAAACAAACTCAAAAGCCAAAAATGTAAGAAATCTTGTGGTCCTGACAGCATTGGTGAAATGCTGAAGCACAGCACACCTCAGCTTCAGACAGCTGTGCTCAAATTATTCAACCATGTACTTAGTTCAGGCTGCTTTCCTGACATCTGGAGCCAAGGACTCATTACTCCTATTCATAAGAGTGGAGACAAATTGGACCCTAATAATTTCAGAGGCATTTGTGTGAGCAGTAATCTGGGGAAGTTATTTAGCAGTATTTTAAACCATAGAATGGTAAACTTCCTTAATGAGCACAATGTCCTGAGCCCTAGTCAGAATGGCTTCCTTCCAAATCACAGAACTACTGACCACATTTACACCCTACACATAATCAATAAACACGTAAAACAGACCAAAAATGGAAAAAATATTTGCATGCTTTGTCGATTTCAAAAAAGCATTTTTTTCTATTTGGCACGACGGATTGTATTATAAGCTTTTACAAAGTGGTGTAGGTGGTAAAGTTTTTGACATTATAAAATCAATGTGTTCAAACAACAGATGTGCAATCCGAATTGGCAACAAACATACAGAATTCTTCACCCAGAAAAGAGGAGTGCAGCAGGGATGTAGCCTGAGTCCAATGTTGTTTAACATTTACATTAATTAATTAGCGGTGCAGTTGGAACAGTCTACAGCCCCTGGACTTACTCTACAAGACAAAAACTTCAAGCTTTTGCTGTACGCAGATGATCTGGTGCTGCTGTCATCCACCCAACAGGGACTACAGCAGCACCTGGACCTGCTGGAGAACTACTGCCAGAACTGGGCCCTGGCAGTAAACCTCAAAAAGACCAACATTATGGTCTTTCAGAAAAAGCCCAGATGTCAGGAACACAGATACCAGTTCAGTCTAGGCAGCACCGCCCTAGAACACACGATGCAGTACACTTACCTTGGCCTGATCATCACTGCATCGGGGAGTTTCAGTTTGGCAGTGAATACTCTCAAAGATAAAGCTTGAAGAGCTCTGTACGCAATCAAGAAAAAAATGCCAAAATATTGAAATACCGCTTCTAATTTGGTGTAAACTCTTTGATAGTATAATTCAGCCCATAGCGCTGTATGGAAGTGAGGTTTGGGGTCCACTCAGTGATCAGAGCTACACTAGATGGGACACACATCCAACAGAAGCCCTACACACAGAATTCTGCAAAAATTATTCTAAAACTACAAAGAAAAACACCCAATAACGCATGTAGGGCAGAATTAGGCCGATTCCCATTGATTATCAATATGCATAAAAGATCCCTCAAATTCTGGATGCATCTTAAATCAAGTCCCACAGAATCGCTACATTTTAAAGCAATACAAACCCAAGAACTGAACCCCGAAAGGAGTCCACTCAGTCAGCTAGTTCTGAGACTTACTAACCTGACTAACTCTACTAACACTATCCAGTCTCAAACCAGCACTGCTTCTCATCCAAACATCAAAATAAATCAAATTATCAAACAATCTAAAAATACATATCTGGAACATTGGGATCAAGAAACTAAAACACAAAGTAAATTACAATTCTATCGAACCCTAAAATCAAATTATGAATTGGAAGATTATCTCCAGAGTGTCAGAGACAAAAAGCAGAGACGGATCCTGACCAAGTACAGGCTCAGCGAGCACAGTCTAGCCATCGAGACCGGCAGACACAGAAAGAGCTGGTTACCCAGAGAGCAAAGTGTGTGTGCTCACTGTGAGACCGGAGAGATCGAGACAGAGACGCACTTCCTCCTTCACTGTCATAAATACATATCCATAAGAAACCTCTACTTCAACAAATTCACCAACGTAATAAAGAACTTTACAGCCATTAGTAAAACAGAACAAATAAAGATAGTATTAGGAAAGGGACAGACAGCAGCACTTGCTGCGAGATACGTGTGGATGTGCCACAGCCTGAGAGACAGCAGGTGAATGTGTGTTGTGTCTGACCTCAGTGTGTTACCCTACTGTCCACCAGTATGTATGTGTGTTTCTATGTAAGTTAAAGACTGTGGTATCAAATGTTCACACGTTATAATTTGTTAGTTTAACACTTCTAAGATGTTATCATATTCCATTCTATTACTGTGATGTTCATTTAATTATTATTATTTTTATTGTATTATTATTTTTTATCTTTTTGTACATGTATACTAAGCTTTGGCAATATTGTATCACTTACAGTCATGTCAATAAAGCAATTTTGAACTGAATTGAATTGATTTGAGAGCATGAGAGAGAGAGAGAGAGAGAGAGAGAGAGAGAGAGAGTTATAGTTATAGGTTCACCATTGAGATCAAACCAGACTTGAAGTTGTTTCATGAGCATTTTCTACACTTAAGATATAATTTTTCCCCCTATCAAAAATTAATATTGTTCCTTAATCCAAAAGTCGTAAATCACTTCTGAGTAAATGCAACACTTGATGATATTGCAGTCCCAGGCATCCTTCTCACAACTCAAGGCTTAGCTTGTGGTCTATCAAAGGTCTCCAGTGATTTAGACTATGTCTGAGAACCCTCAAGTGCTGTCTGAAAGGCTTGAGTACCACTTCACACAGAGAACAGGCAGAAAGTGGGAAATGGTATCAAGTGAGTTATAACAATCACAACTAAATGTGATTTAAAATGTAAACGTTCAACATAAACCTCTGAGGACTATTTAACCACTTCTTTTAGGCAGTTCTAAGGGGTTAAGGGATAATGTATTTAAATATACATTTAAAAAAGGAACCAAAACTTCAAACTGTGGCTATGAACAGCTTAAATCTGGATTCAGGCAGATTTACTGAATGGAATGTATTTGTGAGTCTTTTACTGCGTGTGGAACTGACAGGTGTCTTTCTTCAAACAATAGATATAGTCAGAGGCGGACAGTAACTAAGTACATTTACTTGAGTATTGTACTTAAGTACACTTTTTGAGTATCTGTACTTGAGTATTATTTTTTGTGGGAACTTATGACTTTAACTTCACTACATTTGAAAGACATATATTGTACTTTTCACTCCACTACATTTCTATCAAGGTCCTCGAAGTAGAAAGTCTTTATTACTGTATGCATCAGCTTTGAAAAACGTGCTATAACGTGACTTTCTTTTTTTCAGACAGTTTATCAGTAATCACTCTTGTAGGGCTACATGAAGAGATTTCCCTGCATTTTTTGAACGAAATGCTACTAGCCTCTATGCTACATAGCAAGCTAGTGGCTTTGGATTTATGACTAAAATAGGGTCTTAGGTTAACATTATTCTAAGACACCCCTTTAATGTGATGCAAGATCACTCCATCTGGCATTATTTTGCGATAATCACTGGCTAAATATACGTTATCTGTTATATTTCAAGCTGCAGTCGAGTGTAACATGAAACAGGCCATAGACTCATCAGCGAAAGGTTTTACAACTCTTTTACAACTCAATCTTAAAAAGCCTTTGTGTCAGACAGTTCAAATTACAGAGCAAATGTATGAATGCTTAATCAATGCGTTAGCTGCATTTGGCTGCAGATATAAAATATACATTATAAATATTCTCTATGATTATAAGATAATCTGTATTCTAAGCAGGGTTTGATAAATGGCTGATTACAAAATATTATTATAAAATATTATAATTGCAAAATTATATATTAAAAAAAGTGTGTGCCAATGATGTTTCAGATATAAAAAGAGTGACTGCAATCTGTTTCATCCCAATATAACATAATCAAAATCTCACAAGTGCCCTTTAGAAAATGCTACTAGCCTCTATGCTACATAGCAAGCTAGTGGCTTTGGATTTATGACTAAAATAGGGTCTTAGGTTAACATTATTCTAAGAAACCCCTTTAATGTGATGCAAGATCACTCCATCTGGCATTATTTTGCGATAATCACTGGCTAAATATACGTTATCTGTTATATTTCAAGCTGCAGTCTAGTGTAACATGAAACAGGCCATAGACTCATCAGCGAAAGGTTTTACAACTCTTTTACAACTCAATCTTAAAAAGCCTTTGTGTCAGACAGTTCAAATTACAGAGCAAATGTATGAATGCTTAATCAATGCGTTAGCTGCATTTGGCTGCAGATGTAAAACATACATTAGAAATATTCTCTATGATTATAAGATAATCTGTATTCTAAGCAGGGTTTGATAAATGGCTGATTACAAAATATTATTATAAAATATTATAATTGCAAAATTATATATAAAAAAAAGTGTGTGCCAATGATGTTTCAGATATAAAAAGAGTGACTGCAATCTGTTTCATCCCAATATAACATAATCAAAATCTCACAAGTGCCCTTTAGAGTGTCTAATACACATCAGACTGTGTCCAGCACAATTTTCAGTCTAATATGAAATAAACTGAAGGTCAGGGGGTCAGAGGGTAAAGGCTATTCCCCCAGCATTCACGCCTGTAGGATACACAGCCATCTTGGATCTTGCGAGGAGAGGGTAAATTAATGCGGTTAGTCAATTACTTTTTCACCAAAAAACAGGGTTTGCATCGCATATACAGGGCCAAATGAACATTTGCAGCGTTATACGCATATCCAAGCAGATATTAAGTCGCTGAATGAAGGCATTGACACGTTTGCACGGCTTTACTGGTTTCTGTTTTTGTTCGAGGCCAGAGTTAGCCGACTAGCGTTGAGCGCTAACAAAAACAGACAGCCGAAACTCAGGCCTAAGCCATTTAAACAGATAGATACATGTATTGTGCATGGGCAGACATCTGTTATCAAACTAAAGCACCACGACTAGTATAGATTAGATGGTTCAATGTGTTTTGGTTTCCATTAAAACCTGTATTTATGCCGAAAATGTGTTTTGTTTAGCAGCTACACAGCTAACGACAAAGCTAACTAGCTTTATTTAAATGAGAAAATTTCGCGAGATGCCATTATATATTTAATTTATTTCTCTTTGTAGTTATGTGCGTAACATCATAACATGTAGGAACCAGTTTTAATATTATTAACAATGTTGCGGTATGTGGAAATGGGACTATGTTGAAGTATCTGGCTAGTAATTGATGTTTCTTCATGGATTTAGCTGGTGAATTAAGCTGTTTTTGTGAGTGTTGTCAGGTGTCAGTTTGCAAAGCGATATGTATTTGTTTTCCAACCATATGGCAAATATCTGCTTTGTTTTGAATGGATGAATAAATTATTTATTTAACATCGTACTGCCATAGAAGGATTAAATGTTCTAGCATGAGACTGTTCGTTGAACTACACAAGTTTCATCTTGCACGTCTAATTGTAAGATTTAGGTGTAAATTGGGTTGACAAAATAGTCTGAACCTTTTTATAATGCACTTAAAATCAACATGTATGCTTGGTCTTGTTCTGCAGTGGTAATTCATTATTTATTACAAATTCTGTGTTGTACTGTATATAGAAGAACTTGTTAATGGTAGGTCTACTAGATGTGTGGAAAGATAATCTGGTGTGATTTTGGTTCAGGAATGAAATATCTTGGTTTTAACCATCTCCTCTTTTCTGTAGGTGACAAACGGAATGTTCAGTGCAACGAGAAAGAAGTTTGCGGAGGGGGTCGAAAGTGACTACCCTGATGAGAGCATGTACTATGGCCAGACGTCAATGTTCCCGCATCGATCGGAGAAAGATGTAAGCTGATACTAGTTAATTCATGATGGAACATAACTAATGTTATGTTAGTTGTGTCGAATGCTTTTGTTGACTGGAGGTCCGGTAGAATGACAAAATATTACATTATTATTAATGCTTAATATTATATATTTTACTTCACATGTTTCACTGTCAGCTTCTTCACTGACCTGACCACTAATAAAAAATATTTTTCAAGCAGATGTCAAAAAAGTATTTGAAAATGTATTAAAAATATTTATATATCACGTTTGTCAAAAAAACTTTATTAATCATTTTAGTGGCACAAGTAATGTATGTACCAAACACTTATATATATATATACTGATAAATTACAATACTGAGACTATTCTTTATGCATTCAAGTCAGAATGGTCGTGTTTACGAGTTGAGCGCACATGAACGCCAACATGAAGTCATAATTTCCAGACTTTCGAAGTTGGAGAGCGCGTCAGAGAATCATGGTGGAAACTAATTATGACATAATTATAAATGTTGATGGTAGAAATTGGTGAAAATGGTATTTTGTGTTCTGAAAACACTACACTTTAGCCGTTTTATGAGGAGAACTGAACTGCAAGTTGTGACGAACTGATTTTTTCGTCTAATTCTAGATTCAGCATTACAGTGATAAAATACACAAATGAAGCAAATACACATATAATGTGCGTCATCTGTTCTTTATTATGTTGCATTAGCTCAAAAAAAGTGTTTCATTTGTCAGTAAGTGAAACATAGAGATAGAAATGTTTGAGACACATACACTACTCTTCAAAAAAATTATTTTAAAGAAATTAATATTTTTATTCTGCAAGAATGTATTAAATTGATCCAGATTGTCAGTAAAGACTTTTATAATGTTAAAATACTTTTTTCAAGTAAATGCTGTTCTTTTAAACTTTCTATTCATGAAGTATTGAAAAAAAATCATATCACAGAGTTTACACACAAATATTAAGCAGCACAACTGTTTTCAACATTTATAATAATAAGAAGTGTTTCTTGAGCTCCAAATCAACATATTAGAATGATTTCTGAAGGCTCTTGTGACACTTAAGACTGGAGTAATGATGCTGAAAATTCAGCTTTGCCATCACGGGGATAAATTACATTTTAAAATATATTCAAATAGAAAATGTTTCATTTAAATTGTAATAATGTTTAATGATATTACTGTATTTTTGATCAAATAAATGCCGACTCGGTGATCATAAAAAAACTACATTCGAAAACATGAAAAACTCTTACCGACCACAAACATTTGAACTGTAGTGTATATGTAAATATAAATATGAAAATATAAAAAAAATTCTAATGCCTGTGTCTAATTAGTTGCACATAATGTTAAAGCATGCCAATTCAAATGAGATGTTTTAACTTCTCTTGGTTTTCAGATGCTGCCATCTCCCTCGCCGTCATCGTCAGGTCAATTGTCACAGCTTGGTGCGAGTTTGTATGGTCCTCAAAGTGAGTACAAGTCTTCAGTCCAGCTTATAGTACTGAAAAGTTGTGCTGCTAATAAAAACAATAAACTCTGATTCTGAGCACCATTCGATCCGTGTTTCTCTGCCTGACTCATTTTATAGGTGCACTAGGTTTCTCAATAAGGGGCATGAGCAACAACAACCCTCAATTGAACCGGAATTTAACACAAGGCACTCAGTTACCGAGCCATAGCACCCCAACAACAGGCGTCCCAACAATGTCCCTCCACACACCACCTTCGCCGAACAGGTACGCCATCTCCTCTGCGTGATATATATGTTAATATATGACGTGATCTGCTTAATCCCGGCTTTGCTGATGTTCCGCAGGGGCATCCTGCCTATGAACTCCAGGAACATGATGAGTTCGCAGGTAGGGCAGGGCATGGGCATGAGCGGCAGGACCAACAGCATGGGCAGTTCTGGCCTGGGTAGCCCTAACCGCAGCTCTCCTAGCATTATCTGCATGCCCAAGCAGCAGCCAGCACGCCAGCCATTCACCATCAACAGGTAAGACTGGCCAAACGAGAGAGAGTAAACACTGGTAAGGCTTTTTACAACTGTCAATTCAACATTTAAAAAGAATTACCTGTACAGAATTACCAGTGCCAGGACAGTGGTCAGATTGTGCTCAATGATATGAGAATGAAACAAATTATAAAGTGACTTCTGAAGTGAATGAAATTCATGAATTATAATGTTTACTTCTTTCATTTGCCACAATAATAGAATGTCTTGGAATTATCTTTATGACACGGCTCATCAGTAAGGATTAAGAATTAGGCTAGTAGTTTTTTCTTGACAGGCCATAAATGTAATATTATATAATATAATAAACATTAGTTACATGAATGTAATTGTATATTTATTTTACTAATTTCAAATGTATACTTTTATGTATTTTAAAATTTGTTTACATTTTTTATTTGCAATAATTGCTGAAAATTGTGCTGTTATCATTATACTGGAAGCTTGAGAACAGAAATAAAACACTGAAAAAATAATGATTATTTGTGACTGGTTTGTATATTCAGCCGATTCTGATACAACCAAGACTGTCACAAGTCGTTCTGTGTCAGCAACATTAAAAAGTTGACAAGTAGAATTCACAAATGCCATAGAGAACCAAATGTGTAAGTTTGCAAAGCATTAACATGCATGTATGTGATTTAAAAAAAGATATCAACCCCAAACTTTAAACTGTAGTGGAAGATTTTTTATGTTTTTGAAAGATGTCTCCTGTCATCAATACACTTCTACTTTGTTTATTACTAAAATTAAATATGCTGTTAAAAAGCTTCTCAAAATCTTAAATACATATAATGTATTTTAATTAACTTTCACCTTAGGCCAAGATAAGGCCAATCAAGACAGATTAAGACTGACCTTAACAAAAGGGTCAAATCCTCATGTGTGTCATTGTAGTATGTCAGGATTTGGAATGGGCCGGAGCCAAGGGTTTGGCATGAACTCCTTATCCAATAACATCTTCAACGGGACAGGTGAGTGCTGCATGGAACATGTTTTGAGATGATGCACCATGACAGGAACCATGACGCTTAAATTGTGTTCTGGAAAGAGAAATAACTCATTCTCATTTTATTCTTTCCGCTATTGTGGTAGATGGGAGTGAAAATGTGACCGGAATAGACCTCTCAGAATTCCCAGCACTTGCAGACAGAAGTCGGAGGGAGGGAAATGGCAACCCAACACCATTGCATAATCCGCTGGCTGGAAGGGCACCCTATGGTACGAGTTCATTTTACACAGTCGCATTACTTAGCTGAAACCGAAACCCTCTTAGTCTTTATTACTAAGCACGCTTCTCCTTCAATGGATGATGTGTTGTGAATGCATGACAAGGTCAGTGGTTTTATTTTTATTTCCTCACAATAACCCACAAACCTTTGTTAAAATGCATCTCTCCATAGTTGGAATGGTCACAAAGCCATCGAACGAACAGTCGCAGGACTTTTCCATTCACAACGAAGACTTCCCAGCCCTGCCCGGGCCCAACTACAAGGACCCGACGTTGAGCACGGATGAAAGCAAATCAGTCAGTATTGCCTGAATTTGATTTCTCATAAGCTTCAGAGAGAGATTGCATAAATAACATGTCATTTTTTTGCAGGATGTGCGGCTATTAAAATTTAAGTGATGCCGTCCAGTGCTGTGACGATTGCTTGACCTTTAACCCATTGTTCTGGCCTTTGCTGTCTCCACAGAGCTTGAACTCTTCAGGAAAGGGCAGCTCAAGTGCAGATGGACCCAAGTTTCCCGGTGACAAGACATCATCAGCACAGAACAACAACCAGCAAAAGAAGGGGATCCAGGTGTTGCCTGATGGTGAGGCTCTCTAGCAACATGCACCACTGTATTTCAGACAACTGCCAGAGACTCCCCAGCTTTGAAAACACGACTACTGAATAGAACAAATCATTTGCAAGTTTTTTAATCAAGAATCTGTTCTAGAAGGTTTCAAACTTTCAATGCAACAGTCAGGGTTCCCAGTTCAGGGTCTATTTAAATAATAATAATAATAATAATCCCAACCCCATGGAAAGTAATGGAAATCATTAACATCTTAAATCATCATTAAATAATGTACATTTTTATTATGATAAAAATTATTTACAACATTTAGGTTTTAGATATAAAAATATACAAATTAAAAAAATGAAAAGATACAAATTTTAATATAAAATAATTTCAATTTAAATGTTAATACATTATAAAGTAAAAAGACAAAATTATTTATTAACAAAAATAACTGAAAGTGAAGTGAAGTGACGTGACATGTGGCCAAGTATGGTGACCCATACTCGGAATTAGTGCTCTGCATTTACCCATCCAAAGTGCACACACACAGCAGTGAACACACACAAACCGTGAACACACACCCGGAGCAGTGGGCAGCCATTTATGCTACGGCGCCCGGGGAGCAGTTGGGGGTTCGGTGCCTTGCTCAAGGGCACCTCAGTCGTGGTATTGAAGGTGGGAGAGAGCGCTGTACATTCCCTCCCCCCACCTACAATCCCTGCCGGTACGAGACTCGAACCCACAACCTTTGGGTTATGAGTCCGACTCTCTAACCATTAGGCCACGACTTTTCCTTGAAAAATAAAATAATAAATAGTTTTTGTGACAAAAAAAATTGTGTATATATAGGCCTGTAATATATGTACAATATTATAATAAACATATATATATATATATATATATATATATATATTTGTAGCTATGTTCAGAGTAGCTAAAATATAATTACACTAGAACTCTGAATATTTAATCTGATCAGAAACTTTTTTTTTGTACCATTGGGATATTATGTTTTTATTAATATTTCGAATTTTTATATTTTGAGGGTTTTTGTTGTAGCTAAAGTTTAGGAATTTCGTTATTTGTTTTTGTAATTTTTTTTTATTAATTTTTTTAATATGTCTATATAGTTTTTATACTTTTTTTTTTTCTTTCAGTTTTAGTTATCTTAGTACATCAAGATGAACTAAATGAAAGTGATAAATGTTGCTTTAGCAACTAGCTGAAATAAAATAAGTGAAATAAGTGTAAGGTATATTTTTTTATATTTTATTTTTCCGTTAAAGTTTATTTTGTTTCAAGTAACAAAACCTGTTTTATGGTTTTGGTTAACTATAATAACCCTGACTAGAAATTGTTTTTTGCACAAAACAAAAAAAAAATCTGCATCTGCTGGAAAATTCATGGAAATGAATTGATCAAAAGATGTAGAAACCCTGTTCATCGGACACTCTCAATCACATTTGACATTTATTCTCTTCTTTTATAGGCAAGGTAACAAACATTCCCTTAGGAATGGTGACAGATCAGTTTGGAATGATTGGACTTCTGACATTCATCCGGGCAGCTGAGACGGACCCTGGGATGGTTCACCTGGCTTTAGGAAGCGACCTAACAACGCTAGGACTCAACCTCAACTCTCCAGAGTAAGATACTTTTTTGTTCCAAATTTTGATTTCTTGTCATTATTCTCTTTTTGTCCACACATTAATTTTATTTTGGTGTGTAGGAATCTGTATCCTAAATTTGCATCTCCCTGGGCTTCAGCTCCATGTCGACCACAAGACATTGGTAAGAGTTCATTTGACCTTAACCTGTAGAGATGACCGACTCATTTAGGCTCTTCAGTAATAAATGCAATTGTTTTTTAGACTTCCATGTTCCCTCAGAGTACTTAACCAACATTCACATAAGGGACAAGGTGAGGTGATATACACTTCAATAAAACCGCACTGAAATTGTAATATGTGGATCTCGCTGACCTCATAATGTGCTCTATACAGCTGGCTGCAATAAAACTGGGACGATATGGTGAAGACCTGCTCTTTTACCTCTACTACATGAACGGAGGAGACCTCTTACAACTCCTCTCTGCTGTTGAGCTGTACGCCCTGTTGATTAAGTCATTCTAGGAATCTTTGTCCAAACAATTTAGCTGGTAACCAACCACAGGCTGAAGTCGAGAGGTTAAATGGAACATTTCGTTGTATTGCAGCTTCAACCGGGACTGGCGGTACCATAAAGAGGAAAGGGTTTGGATCACAAGAGCACCTGGCATGGAGCCCACGCTAAAGACCAACAGCTACGAGAGAGGAACATACTACTTCTTTGATTGTCATAACTGGAGGAAGGTCGCTAAGGTAAATATACTGAATTCAGTGTCCTCCTTCAGCTACAGACACTTGCTGATAGTCTTTTGCTCACATGGGTAAATAAACCTAACATCTGGTTTGTGCAGCAGAAAGAATATTATAGTAATGACGTACAATGTTAATAATAGTGGTGACCAATAGGAGGTTGTAAATGATATGATACAAGCTATCTCTAGATACAATATCTAGAGAGCAGGATGGTCGATATAATAATGTTTAAATAAACATAATATAATAAAATGACATATGCAAAATTCAGTTTTAAGAAAAGTCAATTTGTCAAATTGTCATTTTATTTCAAATATAATGATTTTTATCTTAAAAATTTGAATATAAAATATAAATTTAAAATATTATTAGTATTATGTATTATTAGAATTTAGACTTTTTAGAAATTATCATTAGGATTACGTATTAGAAGAATTTAGAACTTTTTGGATATTACATATTATGTTGTAGTATATTTTATATTATATTTAATATATCATTATAAAAATGCGCATTTCTCTCTGAAGATGCATCCACTGTACTGCGGAGATGGCGAGTCAGCATTGTTAGCTTCATCTTTGCAACCGGCACTGACCCAGAAAACACTAGTCTATTAATAAATAATTAAAAAAATCTCCTTGCTATTTTTTCAGGCACATAGTCATTACTTTTGCAGGTGCTTTGCGGCAAGCTTTAAATGGCTGCGCTTGAGCGTGGGATAGGCTTATATATTCAAGTAATTAAATTAATATAAATGTGTGATTAGTCGACTAATCGCTAAAATTAATGACTATTAGTCGTGTATGTGTGTGTGTATGTATATATATATATATATATATATATATCAAATGTATATGTTAGTATAAAAGTATAGCATATAAAATTGTGTTTTTTCTTTCCTGAACAAAAAAGTCAGCTGCAGTGTGAAAATTGCTGAAATATTGCTCAAAATTAGAAAATATTTGATAACATGAAAATGTGCACCTTGAAGTACACATATCTATTGATGCTGATAATGTAAAAATATTGTCATCACTGAACATTCATATATGTTTGATATATGATACATATATATGTATGTATGTATGTATGTGTAAGTGTACGTGAACATCAGCTTTGTGGTTTTCTCTGGTCTCAGGAGTTTCACCTGGAATATGACAAGCTAGAGGAGCGGCCTCACGTGCCAACCACCTTCAATTACAATCCGGCCCAGCAGGCCTTCTGAAGCTGAGTCCGTCAGCGCCCGTGAGCTCTAGGAGCGATCGGCAAGAGACAGCCAGCCGACCTGCCTGACCACAAAAAACCTGGTTTTATTCCTCAACTGTCTGGACTAGGACTGCGGGAGGGGGAGGGTGGCGGGGGTCTCCACCTTGAGAACTGGGGGGAGGGGCCCTGCCTTACAAATTATGTGCTGCCCAAACACAAAACTTCTATATATTTTCATTCTGTTTTTAAATTCCCTTCTTACGTTTTTTTTTTCTTCTTCTTCTCCCTCCATTTCATTTCGAGCAGGGTCAATGTTTTGTTTACTCCTCTGATGGAAAAGCCCCTTTTGGTGTTTACCTGGAGTCTTTGAAGTTGCAGTACAGCACACAAACACATCCATTGGTATTAAAGAAAAAACGCAGTTTGCGCTTTGTTTTCCGAAGTGCGCTGCGCTAACAAACAGGACAGACACAAAGACAAATCCAATACATGTGAATACACAAGGGCAAAAGAAAATGCAATGTTCATTGTTGCACTATTTAGTAATAAAAGAACACAAAAATTGTTTTCTGTTTTTTTTTAATGTGGGAAACTCGCTCCGCTCCCGTAGTCGTTTGGAAGGACGTGCAGCCCTGTCATTAAACATCAAGGAGGTGCTTTTTTTCGTTTTCCCCGTTTTCTTTCGTTCCCCATTTCTTTTGCTCCATCCACCTGCGTTGCTCATCCGGTGAGCTGTTTTCTGCTTAGCGTCAATAATTTCAGTGACCGTTGTTGGGCACAACCCGTGGACCAGGCGGTTGTGAGCTTACCGAGAAACATTGTTCCAGAATGAATATGAACCCTTTTCAGTCTTTGTTACGATTTTGTAATAAACGTGTACATTTTTTTTTAATTTTTTGACATCACATGAATAAAGATATGTATGTATGAATGTGTATATATATGATATATATAGATAGATGTATCTATATATATATATACATGGCGTCTATTTTGGAAGAAGTAACTATGCTTGACCTCGTTTTTAGGAGGTGAACAGAAATGGCATTATGTGGTAGAAGCAAAAAATGCAAAAGACAAAAAAAAAATTAGTGAACAGTATGTTGAGCTGCCAGACGGGGAATCACGTTTGTTACCCTGTGCACTTAAAGACCAATTCAACTAAATGAATAAAGGTGACACGGAAGGCCTGAGCGAGGACATCTGTATTGCGGGGGGATAAACAAGGGGGTGGAGATATTTCAGCTGCAGCTATTTGAATAGAAGCATTTCGTAGGAAAGGGAAAACCCATAGTACGAAAAAGAGACCAATCTTGTATTTTCTGACCACCTTTAAAGCTCCCTTTCTTTGTAATAAAGCAGAACGGCTTTCCTGAACCAGTGTTTGGACTCTGTATGGGAAGGGGGTGTGTGGGTGAAACCACACTTTCGGTATGAGCAAGTGTGTGTGTGGCTGTAACTCGTGACTAATCCTAACACTGCTTTTTCCTGTTCACGTGAACAGACGTGCTTTTTTTCAAGTTTTTTAATAAAGATGCCATGAGGTTGATGGTTAACACACACAGATTACTTACAAAAGGCCAGAGAAAAATCAGATGGAATGTCACTGATGTGAAGATACTGCTGTGTAAGTCGCTTTTCGATCACTATGAATACTGTAAGACAGCAGCAGCTTTAAGGCAAGTGCAATTCAACTTCCTCCATCACAGTGCGCAAGGACGATTTATGTGTTTTTTTACTGTCGGACACATTGCGATATATTTTAGGCAGCACAAATAGCTAAACAAAATATGTTAGTGTGCTACATTTTACATGATACATATTTCACATATCAAAAATGAGGGTGTTGAATGAGTTTTGGGCAGAAAATCATTAGTTAATTAGTACTGTTGACAAGAAAAAAAAGCATTCTAGTTAACATAATTCAACTTTTAAAGGAAAGCTCACCCAAAAATGAAGTGTCTGTCATTGTTTACTCACCCTCTTGTCATTCAAAACATGTAGGACTTTCCTTCCGAGCAACATAAAAGATGATATTTTGAAGAACTGTTTTTGTCTGAATAATTAAAGTCAGTGGGGTCCAAAACAACCCTACTGGTCCCCACTGACTTTCATTGTATGGACCAAAAAATGATTAAAAAATAAGTTATATAGGTTTGAAACAACATTACAGAATTTCCATTTTTGGGTGAAATATAATCAGTTCTTTGAATTTCTTTTTAAATTTCATTATCTAAAAAAAAATTAATTAATCTAAAAAAAAATCTATTTCATTATCTAAAAAGAAAAAAAAATCTGCTAAGGGCTGGTTTTACCATATGAAAATATCTGTGCCTCACAATCAATGTTGTTAAGAGAGAGAGAGAAAAAAAAAAAGTACAGACGCCTTCATCTACCAATAACATTTCTTGAATTTACATGACTGCATAATGCTTGACAAAACAGCAGTTGAACATCACTGTCGATACATAAAACAATTGTGGTCTAAAACCGAAGCATTGGTCCAAATCCACAGTAAGCTCCAGTTGAACAAGTGCAGGTGGCATAACGCCAAAATTATTTTAAGACGCTGTACAGACTCCAACAGAAGTATAGTGGCTGGAGGGTCAATGTTTATAACCTCCTCTGGAGCGAGTCCATGCTGTTCAAGTGATTTATATATCGTTCAAGCTGCTTTGTAGTTTCACTTGGTGCTGGTTTCCCCAGGAGAACCCTCAATCGTTGAGGAACCAGGACCAGTTTTGGCAACTTCGTCTGAAAAGAGAGATTAAATGAGTGTTTGTGGTGCTAAATGTCACCATAAAATGTTCTAGAGATCATGGATCCATCAAGCCAACCTCTGTCCTTCTTCTCCTGGGTCTCCTCGGCTGCCGTTTTATCAGCTCTGAAGAAGATCCGAGCGCTGCTCAGAGAGAAATAGAGCAGCTCGAACTCCTACAAATGGAGAGGAGATGTGAATAAACAAAGCCATTGGCCATCATTGCTGAAGATCATGGAGATGCTCCCATACCTGCAGATATATGTCCAGTCTCTTCTGGGTCAGGTTCATGGTCTGCATGAGCTTCTCATCTTGGCTGGTGGACTGAACGTTCTGCTCCTTCACCACCGCGTTCATTTCCTTCATGTACTTTTCCCTCACAGCCTGGAACCAGTGGAGAGAGTCAAACTCCTGATACTGGTCCAGAAGCTTCAGGATGTAGGCGACTCCTGTAGGTGAAAACACGGGAAAAGTCCTTGAATACACCATCCATGAAAAAATTGAATAAAAATGAAATACCATTGACGTTTGTGACCGTATTGAAGACGTACCCATGGCGAAACCATCGTCTGTAAACGCAGCTCCCACTTTGTTCTTCTTGCTTAGTTTTTCTTTGCAGCTGATGGAATGTTCCACAAAATTAACCGCCTGCGAGGGAGAAGAAAGATGAACGTTATGCAAGAGATGTGTTACAATTAGCAAGAGATTTCCATATCCAAGATCTGAAGACCCACCAGAGGAGGAACTATCATGTAGAAGTTCCTCAAGTGCATGTTCTTGACGCTGCGAAACTCCGGTGCAAAAACCCCCACCAGCATCTTGAAGTACTCAGTTCCTTCAGCCGAGTTACTGGTCAGGTCACCAAGCACACAGTCCAGCTGACTGAAAAAAAAATGAAATTACAATTTATTGTATAATAATAATATTTGAATTAATTATTAATAATATTATATTTTAGAATTAATTATCTAATACTTATTCACAATAATAATACAAATTATTATTATTGTTATTGGTATTTATAATTATCAGCATCATCAGCAATTTTTGTTTTATTTCTAATCTGACATTTATGTATTATTAATATTACTACTATTAATGTTTTATTATTTATTTATTTATTAATAATAACTAATAAACACTAAACCTAATAATAATAGTAATAATTACTAATCATTTATTGTTATTGTTGGTATGTTTTAATAATAATAATAATAACATCATCATTATTATAAATAACAATAACAATGTTTTAGTATTAATTAATAACAATAACAATATTGTTAATTGTTATTATTACTGTTGTTGTGTTTATTATTGTTGTGTTGTTTTATTAATTAGTATTAATGTCTAATTGTTTATTATAATTGTTTTATTATTGATTTTTATTTGTATTATTATGTTTTAGTATTTGCAGTATTTATGAATGATTATTATTGTTGTTTTATTTATTCACATTATTATGATTATTAATTTCCTGGCTGAACGACACTGATTAGCTGACATTATGAAGTACAGTACCTGGCAGCTTTCTGCGTCTCTTCAGAAAGGCCTTCCTCTTTCACAAGCTCCTCAAAGTTGACGATGTCCTCGAGGTCAGGAACAAACCTGGAAAATATTTAAATGTGAATTCCTTGATAAATGACTTTTTTTTGGTTTGGAGGACTTCTGTAGGAAGACTTGTATTATTTTATTAAGACTCCTACCATATGCGTCTCGTTTAGAGTGTTGTGTGAGAAAACTATTATTATTTATCTAGTATTAATCAAAACTACCAGGTATTACTACGACCTGAACGTCTCAGTCAAATATTCTTTGTATGTAGTTGTAGAAGGTGATGTTTAACCTGATAGCACTGCTGCAGCAGTGCAGCCCTCCAGACCGAATCATGCGCACATAACCCATCGCATTGCCTGCAAGAAAGAAAAAAAAAGGGAAGAGAAAGAGAAAAAAAGTTGATTAAATAATTGAATGATTTGTTTTTGGTTTGACTGAATAGTCAAGTAAAATCAACCATCTAGGATCCTATGAAATTTGTTTTAAAATTTTTTTATTCTTAAACTCGGTTTTATTTATTTATTTCAAATTCTGTGTATTCCATTTGAATATTTCTGGATTCTGTTTTAAAGGCGTCATCGGATGCCCATTTTCCACAAGTTGATATGATTCTTTAGGGTCTTAATGAAAAGTCTGTAACATAGTTTGGTTAAAATTTCTCAATGGTAGTGTAAAAACACATTTTTTACCCTGTCAAAATGAGCTCTTTTCAGATCAAGCCGTTTTGTAGCATTTCCCTTTAAATGCCCCTTTATTGGTTTAATTAAATTTTTATCATTTTTTATTTTATGGGGGAAAAACTGATTGTGTGATATCCCTTAAAATAATGTTTTAATAAACTGCATATTATTATTAGTAAGTAGTAATGCCCTAAGCATCCCAGCATGGACATCATGAAGTTGACAACAGAACGAAAGGAAAGAGCTCCCAGACGTGTCTAAAAACCTATAGACAAACTTTACCAATCTGACTGATGAGCTGTCTGTACTGATCCAGGTAGCTCTGACCATCTGGAGTAAGACCCAACTTCCTGATGCCACGGTTGAACTTCTCTGCTCGCTCAAAGGGGTACTACATACAGCAGAAAGCAGCAGAAGAACGTGTCTTCAGAAGATAACATTGCTTCACGAAATAACAACATGCAAATGGAGACCAGCTTACCTTTTGGTCAGTCTGATCCTTGGTTTCCCTGAAGAAGCGGATGTCTTTGATGAGTCTGGATTTGATGTGCTCGTCATACATGAACTGACTGAAAATGTAGAACTTCTTACGGAGGAACTGATATGTGAAGTTCACCTGCAGAGAGATACTTCAGGCCATCAATATGATGAGATACTACTGGAGACGTAGCTGACAGGATCTGTACATACCGTTGTGTTCATAATGCCGGTTCCATGAGTGCGAATGGAGTTGGCAATGTGGCGGATGTTAATGGTGTTTAAGTGCTTGTTGTTGCTGGTCCTCTCAATGAAGATCTGCACACAATGGAAAATATGTTTTACACAAACACATCAAATGAGTAAAACATGAGTGGACAATCATAATGTCAGAGGTCAAGTCCTGCCTGGTTATTTAGGTTGTAGAGGTAGC